ATGGAAATTAGAGCATTTATTTGCTCTATTTGAAGGTAAGAGACATTTACCTAATGCACCTGTTTAGATAATGCATGCGTGACTATAGATAGAATAAGAATATAGGTATCGATTTTTTTATGCAAATAATTACAAAAATTTTAGAATTTCAAGTCGTCGTATAAAAAAATCAAAATGTGACCAAAGCTTATAATTTTAATAATTTATTTGCTTTACTTTGATTAATCGCGATGTAACATTTTTTTGTAATTTGTAGAGTGATGAACCACCCCAAAAAATACCAAGGAGTGAAGAAGCAGAAATAACTACTATCGAGGAAAATAATATCACTTTACTTACTACAGACCAGGAAAACCTAAATTTATCAGAAAATAATATACCTCGTAATATGCCTGTATATGATAGACTTCTCTTAGATCAAAATAAATTTTAGTTGAGTCAATAGTATTCGCTATTGGTTTAAGAAAAGTGTCTCTTTAATCAAGAAATGTCCCTTTTCAATCAAGAATTTTTGCATGAATTAAAGAAACTGTTGTTCTTGTAGCAAGAACTTCTTTGCATATTCATTTTGGGTCAAGAGTGAAATACTTTGGACAGATAGATTCTTCTATTCTCTAAAGTAATTTTTTAAAGCTTATGAAAATATAGTTAATGTTTTGGGCAAAGAAACGTCGTTCTTGGCCCTATTGAAAAGCGCCAATCTTTTGGGTCAAAGTCATATTCATTTCGACTGAGAGATCTTTTTTTCAGTGCGGGCACCTTAAATTTTTCATGTATTTTAAAATTTTATACAGGGTTGTTCACCACATACGACACGGAGTATTGTAGCTAAAGGATTAGTTTTTTACAAATTGTAAGTTTTGGATTCGTTGCAGGACTATTAGGGCTACAATTTAAAAATAGTTTTACAAGATACAGAGTGTCCCAAATAAATAAAAATATCAAAGTTGTATTTTTTTAAATGGGATACCCTGTATATTATTATATTTTTAGTTTCTACGATTAAAATAAAGTTATATTCGATTAAGGTTTACCGCATTTTAATATTACCGTTCTTGAAATATTTTGATTTTTGTCAAAATACAGTAATAATTTTAATGCTTAATTTCTCCAGGAGTATTTAAGTTTTTCAAATAAAATATTGTACTGAAGTATTTTTTTTACTAAATTTATGTTGCAATAATAAAAATTATACTACTTTATATAGAGTGTCTAAAAATGTATTTAAATAATTACTAGGTTTAAACGGTAATAACTTGTTTATGTTAAATGGAACACCCTGTATATTTTATGAAAATCAGATGTCCAATTTAATTGTCTATCAAATTGTGTTTTACCATTTTTTACCTATCTCTTCAAGTTTTCTAAGCGCGTCAGATCAGAATACTTAAATCGGTAGTTAAGTGCGCGCTCAGCAAAAATTAACGACATATTATACGCTGAGTGTCTAAAAGCGCTTAGCGTTTCTTAAGTTACAGAATTCGGGCCCTGAGCCTATTAATGTCTTCAATGAGCTTCTTTGGCCATTCTTCTTCTTCTTAAAGTGCCTTCTCCATTCAGTGAAGATCGGCAACAACCATGGCAAATTCCTCTATATTTTTCGCTCTTCTCAGCAAAGTATGTGAGTCCAGGCCTGTCCAATCTCTAATGTTCTTCAGCCAGGAGCATTGCCGTCGTCCGGGTCCGCGCTTTCCCTCAATTTTACCCTCGATGATGAGCTGAAGGAATTCATACTTGCTGTGTCTCATGATATGGCCCAAATAGGCTGCTTTCCTCTTTTTTATTATGTCGAGGAGTTCTCGGTCCTTGTTCATTTGGTTTAGAACTCGTTCAATCGAGACACGGTCAGTCCATGGTATTCTCAGCATTCTGCGATATATCCACATCTCAAATGCTTCCAACTTATTCATTGCGCTTACTTTGAGTGTCCACGACTCAACCCCGTAGAGAAGTGTGGAAAGTACGTAGCACTTGACGAAGTTGTCTTTTATATGGATGTTGAGACGTTTATCGCACAGTAGGTTCCGCAATTTTAGGGAGTTTGATCTAGCCATCTCAATTCGAGCTCTGATCTCAATGTCTGGGTTTAGGTCTTCACTAAGCCATTACATCTGCCTTTGGCCATTACATCTGCCTTTTTGTTACCTCTGTGACCGTCGTTTTTTTAACAGCAATCTGAAATTTAGGGTATGCTTAAAGTGACTGACAGTAGACAATTTGTATTCGTTTAGATAATGATCAAGATAATGACCATCGTATACTTGGAAATAATCTTGGAGAATTTGTATCTGAAAATAGAAGCTGGAATTTGATCGGTCCAAGATGGTATCTGAAAGCCGTCGCAGGAGAGAGAAATCTCTCCAACGTTCTAGAGACAAAGTCGAGCTTCAGGTAAACGCGCACTATACGTATCCATTCACGGCGAATAAACGCCTACTTTGACCAAACAGGCCAGATATTATTAAATAGGTATTCTAGTATTTACTATATAAATGTTTGCAGCTTCTTGGGAGTTTGGAGCTTCTTGAGTTCAGCTTCTTGAGATGCGACATAACCTATGATAAAGATACACGAAAAAAAAAAAATTCCAGTCAGTGTGTGGAACTATCGCAAAAACATTTAAAAACAAAGCACGGCTAGAAACGCAAGTAAGACTGTATAATACATTACCGGTACCGATAGTATTATACGGAAGTGAAGCCTGGACTACCACAAAAATTAAAGAACAAAGACTCACAACAACGGAGATGACGTTCTTAGGAAAAATAAAAGGAATAAGTAGAGAAGATAGAATAATAAATGCTACAATATGAAATGAACTAAAAACACCATTAGAAGAAAAAGTAAGAGTATATAAAAATAAATGGAAGAAACATGTAGAATCAGATGACAGAATTCCACAAAAAATGCTATGATATAAAAAAATACTTGTTATTGTGGTGATTTAGTGTTTTTATTTTGCTGTGTAACACCAAATGTTCCAACCCTCAACTGTAATAGATGATTAAAACTGAGTTTTAATCATCTGCTTAAAGTAAAGAGTGGCGAATAAGTGTTTTATTTTGCTGTTGTAACACCAAAGTTTCCAACCCTCAGCTGTAATAAATACATGTAGCATTATTCTTGTGTAAATATTCTTGTAATAAGCATTCTAGTTATTTTATTACAATATATCTATGAGACTGGTCTTGGTTACTAACAATAATAATTTATAACAAAATTGTAGAATAGGTGCTTAAGTAGAAACTATATAAAATAAACTGACTTGGTTTGACAGTTTGACATGAGATCTCACAAATTTTTCTAGTGGAAGAATAATTTGCTCGACTTGGAATTTTTTTTACATTCTATGTTTTCGATGGGATCTCATTTATTCATTCTCACGATTCAAAATAATATTAAAGAAGTTTGACTAGTAAAGTCATATAATTCAAAAACTTTGAATTATTGTATAAAATCAGATAATATCAAACCGATTAATTCTAGTTTTCCGGCGACTTTCGTTATAATCCAAGCGAGGGGTGTCTCACTATTGGAATTACCTGTACATTTTCTTGGCAGTCGCTGGCAGTCATTGGCAGTCTTCCGGCATTCTCCTATAGTAATTACATGGCAGTCATTGGCAGTCGCTTGGCAGTAAAATGATATTTTGGCAGTACATGTACATTTTTCACCCAAGTGAGACACCCCTCGAATCCAAGTTTCAGCTTTAAAAATGTTTAATTCATGCTTGTTCAAAACCAATGCTTGTTCAAAATCATGTTTTTGTCAATTTTACACATATTTTATTTTTTATCTCGAAAACTTTAATAGATAGGTTAGTATAATAGAAAAAATATAAGATATAAAAGAAGTTTGCCAAAATGTAATAATATACTGAGTGTTGTATTTAAAATATCAAAGATGCTACCACTTTTCAAATTATCCGCCAATTCTGTTAATATTTTAGATAGATTAGAAACAACTGTCATTATGTAAAAATGGAAATTTTTAAAACAATTAGCGGTTCTCTTATTACCATTGCCGAAAAGTCAGTTACCGCTAGCGGGTAGACAGCTAAATTTTAGTCCATAAGGATATTTCGAGATTTTTCATTTTTTCCTTCTATTATAGGCTTAATGCTACCTAAAATTCAAAATTGAAGTTTGTGATACTTCTAGAAGCATGGTACAAAGAAAACAAGGTATGATCAGACAGCGGCTCCAATTTCGTTAAGTTTGCGCATACCACCTGTGACGTCATACGCCATACAAAAAAATATCCATATTGTTCAATTGCCACTAATAAAAAAGACCTAAAATAGGGAAGAATTAGGACATAACCCCAAAAGTTATGTCAAATCATCGAGCTTGACATTTGACAAATTAATTTCACATTTATTATGTGTCATCTGTTTGTCAATTTGAAATTGGCGCGCCGAACTTGCCGACTAATGGTGCCGTTTATCACCTGTGACGTAGTGACCAACCTCCGCAATATCATACCTTGTATTCTTTGTATCATGTCTTGAAGTACCTTGACGAGTTTAGACAAATTCTAGACATTTGGGCGACTTTTCAAAAAATGTTTCGCCTGTGCTTCTTTTTCACCCTCTCGTCACCCTCTATACTTCTTATTTTGAAAGTTGGCAACCCTACCCATAACCGTCTTAGAACTCTAATCTATCTAAGTTTTACACTTCTTCTAAAAGCTACGGATGAAGGACGAGGAGAATGTAACCTAGAGTTCAAAAGAAGACAACACTAGATCTGTGTGTGAAATAGTCCAATTTTCATCAAAAAAAGATCTAATCTAATATAGTTCGCCTTAAAATGATCTTGTCATAGGAATGGTCGTTTCAAAATCGTTGAATTTTACCTATGTGGTAGTTCTTCGGCCGTCGATGCAGATGGTAGGCCCGACTTCCACCTGTGATCGGCTGCAACCATCCGCGAACGGCCACCAGAACAGGTGGTCTCTAACTGGCGTACCGGCGCTCAGTCACTTGTTTTCACCGGCAAGAACACAACCGACAACGACGCGCCAATACGCGTTTCCATAGCCGACTTTTCGCGCCGACAGCTCGCGCGGAATTTCCCGAATTTCCACTGCAGTTTCCCCACGGAAAGCTCCAAGAGTTCGGTGTCAAAAAAAAACTTTTAAACTGTATTTTTGCCTCGAAGAACTGTTTAATTGATTTAACTAGGACATAAACTGTTTCATTTGGTAACATTTTTGTGTTTTATTTTGACTAGTGAGTTTTTTGTTTGAGGATGTTTGTTATTTGTGTTGGACAAGGATTGTTGCAGTGAATTTTTGGATTGATTTCGAATTGCCGAAATCCAATGGATAACTTTTGTTTTGGATAGTTTTGTCGGGTGAGTTTCGTTATTATCATTTTTACAAAATTTATATTTTGACAAATAAAATATACTCCCGGGTACAAAATTCCGCCACCCTAAAAATTTGACCAAGTTTGATGTTTCATAACTTTTTATTTTGTAATCCCATTTTTACGATTATAGTGCCAGTGTGAAGATAAATTTATCGGAATTACTTTTTAATATTTTAAGGGCTTATATTCTTCAGTTAGGTGGGTTCATATCGGGGTAAATCAAAACGGTTTTTGCAATAAATTCAAAACAGCCTGTGGAAAAAATGAGACTGGCATAATTTTGGACAAAAAAATAGTTTCTTGTAATCTTAGATGTATTCCTAACATTTCATTTTTTGATTATCTCTATTTTTTTATGAGAAAATTTTTTTAAATCATTTTTAAATAAAATATTGATTTTAGAGATTCTTTTATTGACAAAAACAGTAATTTTGTAATAATTTTAATAGCGTGTATGTCCACCTTTCGCAGCAATACCAGTTCGAGGTGTTCGTCGTATCGAATGTATCGAAGTATTAATGTACACTTTGGATGAAAAATAGAGGCAATCTACACTTATTACTTTGGATAATTCCTCCAAGATGATCATTAAAATAGGGACAAATTTAAAAGAGCTTTAATTTGAACTCAAAAAAATACAAAAAAATTATAGAAAAACTTCTTTCGGTCATAGTTAAAGAATATTTTAACGTGTTGTAGTTTTATGCTGTTATGCAGATATGTTGTAAAAAAATAAAATATTCAAAAATTTTGTACTATTAGGAAATTAAATATGTTAAAAAATAGAAGCAGCATTAATAAAAATCATTTCTGTATCGTTTTTTTGGATATATTTTTGGTCAAGGTTGAATTTTTATTCTAGATAATGAATATGTTAACCCTGATCCTAAAAACTAAAATAATTTATTCAGTGATCTATAATATATATTTTTTTTAATTTGCTTAATTTATATTAAATGAGATGAAATTATATCATAAAACAGCAGACCTCCGCTAAATTATTGTATGAATAAAGTTAAACTTGAAACAAACTGGTGTTGTGTAAAGGTTTGGTTTGGTTCAACGCAAAAAAAACTAGTAATCATGAAATGAAGACTAGTAATCATGAAATGAACTAAAAACGAAGACGAGGATGTTTATACTTTTCACTGAGCCTCCATTCTGGATGAATTATAGGATCGGAGAACGATTCTTTAATGAACAGTTGGTTTTGGGGATCAAAATGGGTATATAAAAAGATATAAAAAAAGAAATATAAGAGGTAAAATATAAATATGTACAAAAAACACACACAAAATGTGTAAGAGACCTATAAAAAAAAGAAAAATGTAGATACCGAAAGATAAACTTCAAGACAGTTACAAACATAAAATTGTAAAAAATAAAAAAAGAGAAATAAACAGATTATATACACTGAAATATTATCAAATTAACAATTCGCAAATTCGTAAATTCGCAATACAGGCGGCATTTTTCTGGCTTGAATCGTGTCGCACAGCGTGCGGGAAACTGGATACTTAGGATAGTTGTATATCTCGAGGTTTTGTCCTAACCTAACCACATTCGCATAATGTTGATGGATCTCTAAGAAAATTCTATATAACCTTCTGTTATATTCATATAATCTATACTTAATTACTTTGGAGTCTTACCACTTACCATTTTTGCCAAAGAATGCCTAGAGAAGCTAAAGAGTCCTATTCTGGGTACCAGCCCATCAAGAGATAGAAGGTAATGAAAAAGTAAACGACTTATCTAGAAAAGAAGCAAACATGGGAAGCCTCCAACTGCCCAAGACCAGGGAAAAAATTTCCTAGCACTGAAAACCAAGAAACCGAGAAAACCAAGATTTTCATTGTTTTGGTTAAGAACAATCTTCGGATTGTCACGGGATTTTTAACAGGACACTGTCGCCTCAACGAACACCTCAGTTAGATTGAAACTAAGAAACAACGGCGAATGCAGATTCTGTCGAGAAAATGGGGAAATGCCAGAACACCTCATCACTGAGTGCGTCGAGACGGCAACCATTCGTGTCATGAAGTTTGTTACGACTGATATCGGAAGAACTAACCTCTGTAAAACTGTCTCAGATAATGACTTTTATCAAAACCCTGAGCCTGTATGATGAGTAATAACTCGTTAAAACACAATAGATCTGTAAGGTTGCGGTGCCACTTTACACGATTCCTTCAAGATGACCATTAAAAGTGTTACCAAGACAAATAATCCTTTACTGATAAGTAGTGCAAGGTCTAAACTTAACATTCACAGAGTAATACCGATAAAAAAAGAAGAGTCTCGTTGACAAATCAACTGCAAACCACATTCCGATTTGAAACCATAGAAGAAGAAGAAAAAAACAATAAATCGGGACGTCCAATCGATCAAAACCGTTTCAAATTCATTTCGAATCGCTATTCGATTTGGTTTGATGAGAAATTTATCATGGACTCGAAATTTTGACGGTTCTTTTCAGATTGGGCTGCATTAATAAGACAAGGAACGAAAAAATATGATGTATGTGGTGTCAATCAAAAAACATTATATAAATAATTGATATCCTCTCGTGTTCTATGAATTTTTATTAAAATATTCAATGTTTGTTGGGATTTAATCTTTGGATTGTATCGTTTAAAATTATGATCTCTACAAACAGCTGCAGACACAATCGGTGAATTTAAAAATATTTCCTAAAAATTTCCTAAATATATATTCTTTATTACAGTAATTACAATTATTTCCTAAATAGATATTCTTTTTGAACAGCTAATGAAATCCACGTGAAAACCACCTGTTGCGAAATATACTGCGCATGCTTAATATATTCAGGAGCGTGTAAAAGTGTACAAATATTATCTGACTATAGTCATTTATTATCTGACTATAGTCATTTGTTACCTGACTATAGTCGCTTATTATCTGACTATAGTCATATATAAAAAGAACTCACCTGGCTCCTCAGCGCTTATATAGAGCGTCGGCTACCTCTCGCATGTACCTGTGATGTGTGTCATCAATATTTCACAAGTACACGGGACCTACTTACATGCAGTTTATCCCCGAATCCGAACGGCACTATTTGAGAGGCTGTACAAGGCAAATATACTCAAGGTGGTTTGCCATTGCCTTCCTTGAGGTAGCGGCTCGAGCGTCGCTCTATTTAGATAAATAAATATTTTTATTTAAATAAATAAAGCGACCGTACTGGCTGGGGATCGAACTCAGTACCTTCCGCTCCGCAGATCGACACTCTACCGCTGGAGCTACGGCCGCGGCCACTCTTTATAGAAACTATTAAGTTAAATAGTACTTTGTTGAAACTATTTTAACTATACTACTTCTTTTTTTTTTTTTTTTTTTTTTTTGAGGATGGTAAAAAATCTTCTTAGACGCCTGGTCTGTTGTTCTGGCGACCGAGGTGTGCCGGATTCCTACCGACTAAAAAAAATTCCACCCTATTTGGTAGACAAACTGCGCTGGAACTGCTCACGCATTACTTCGGCGCAGATGCCCCTCTCTACGTTAGACTTTGGTCATTCTTCAACCCTCCGTTGATCCAGCTCCTTCTGTCGTAGAATTTTTGATATAAACGCCACGAAAGCCTCCCATATATCTTCGTCCTCCACAATAGATGGTACTAAGTTTTCTTTTTTAAAGGGTACCTTAAAAATCCCCTTGATCTTTAATCTACCTGGTTCCCAGGCCGAGCATTCAAAAATGGTGTGACTGACATCGTCGATGGCACTGCTGCAATATTTACAGGCCGCACTAGCTCTTTTCTTGAAACGATATAAATAATGTTCGAAAGCTCCGTGACCGCTAAGTATCTGGGAAAGATAATAGTCTACCTGTCCGTGTTTTCGTTCAGTCCATCTTCTTATATTCGGGATTAACATATGTGTCCATTTTCCACCGTACGCCTCATCCCATCTTCTTTGCCACAGTTGATATAATATCTCCTTCGCTTCATTTTTGATATCAGCCTTATCTGTTCTTCCTGTAGTTTTTTGATCATATATATATATATAAGCCCTTTCCTTTACTACCAGGTCTATTGGTGGTATACCTGCGATTACGAATACCGCTTGCTCCGCTACAGTTCTGTAGGCAGAAACAACTCTCAAGGCGCTCCGTCGCTGAACTGATAGAAGTTTCTGTTTTTCTTTTTTAACCTCCAGTGCCTTTGCCCATATTGGAGCGGCGTACAAAATACTGGCGTGGACCACTTCATTTAAAAGTATCCTTTTCTCCTGCCTTGGACCTCCGATGTTTGGCATTACTCTTGCTAATTTAGCCACTGTTGTCTGAGCCTTTACCACTACTGCATGTATGTGTTCTTTGAAATTCAGCTTTTTATCAATTTGTACTCCCAGATATCTGAGGCTTTGACTAGGACTGAGGACCATTGATTTCCGTCCCATCCAACACAATCTTTGGATACGTAAAAGATCGCTTATCCGTTATCAGTACAGCCTCTGTTTTATGGACAGCCAGTTGCAAATTTTTCATCTTCAGCCAACGGTGTATTCTATCTAAACTGTCGTTAACTTCAATCTCCAGTTGTTCTGTTTTACTTGCCGTTGCCACAACAGCAATATCATCTGCAAATCCCACTATATCTGTGTTTTCAGCCATTTCCAGTTCCATAAGCTCGTCATAAAATATGTTCCATAGGAGGGGTCCTAGGACCGATCCTTGGGGAACTCCCATTGTTATGTCATACGTTTTTGTTCCTTCAGACGTTAGATAGAATATTTTTCTCTCTGTAAGATAGCTATTCACCATATTTTTCAAATATTCTGGGAAATCTTTTCTTTTCAAGGCTTGTATAATTTCTCCCCATCTTGCAGTATTGAAAGCATTTTTGACATCTAAAGTTACTAATGCACAATATCCTTTATTTTTCCAATTCCCTTCCTTTACACTCCTTGCAATGGTGATTACTCGATTGATTGCGTCGATGGTCGATATGCCTTTACG